GGGTAGCTGCTAACTGAAGGCCTTTCGCATTGCAACTCAAGGGTAGTGGGATCACTTTTTCCTTTGTGACAGCATTATTAATTTTATAATGGAAGTCAATAGAGATTATATATTCTGTGGAAATCTATTCCTTCTATAAGGATATGCTTGTCAGTCTGTAAAGGTTCCTTTGCCCTGTTTCTGACAGGGGAAGAACTTAAACCTTTCCCTAAGGAAGAAATGTCCCTCATTGCTCATACATGCTGACATAGCATTGTACTGTTGCCAGCTTCCCCGGGGACTTGCAGAAATCCTATAAGCTAAATGTAGAACATGTTACAGCATGTCATAGAACTGGGCCAGTAGGGTACTGCAAAAGACAAACATGTTCCATTGAGCGAAGTTCGGAGAGGCAAAAAAGAGCAAAGATACTTATCGAGATGATGTTTGATTGTTTAAAAAGTATCATGTGTATACATCTTAAAGGAAGTAAACTGAATGGATATTATCATAGCAATTCCAAGTGATAAAGTTACCTGAAAGCTGAGGTATAAAATGGTTTTGATTTCCAGGTCCCAAAATAGAAGGAAGTATTTTGGGCAGAGAGAGGTAGGAAGCATTCAACAGCCAGCAGTGGTAAGGGAGAGAAATTCTAGGGCTGTCACATGACCTAATTAGGGATTTATTTATTTCTTACTGTCAATTCATTTTTTCTTTTTGGTGGTGAAATATATATAACAAAGCCTGCCATGTTAACCATTTTAAAGTGTATAATTCAGTGGCATTAACTACATTCACAATGTGGTTTGATCATCATGGCTCTTTCCAAGATTTTTTCAGCACGCCTGTGCTTGAGAGATTCGTTTTGTAATTGGATATCTCAGAACTTTGTCTGGTTTTAAGAAATGCAGAGTGCAAAATCTTCCTTTTTTTTCGTGTGAACATATGTCATGGGTTGGGGGTGGTCCTGCTCGGTGTGTGTCTCTCATTCTTCAGGTCCCTCCTGTCCTTCCTGATGTTGCCTGCTTGGTTGAAGAGGGTGCCCATCCGAGTAGAGGAGGAGGGATATGGCTTGTAAGGGGCATGTGCAGAGCTGTGTTCTCCTGCTGAGACCTCTAAATTGACTCTATTTGTAGGAGGACATGGCCAGTCTTACTTATTTAATGTATTTTAAAATTAAAAAGCCATATTATATTCCTGACAGGTCAGAAAACAGTTGAAGAGCTTGTCATCACTTTGAACACAAAATGATTACTATTTTTTCGTATTTCCTTTCAGTCTTTTGTAAATACATGTTTTTGACATCGTTGATAATGATGGGTCCGACTGTATACAATTAACTTACCTCTTCATCTAACGTGTCACATACATTTTTACATGTTGCTCAATAATCCTCATAATAATAGGCCTGGAACGCACGTAGCTCAGCTGACATACACCTACTACTTGTCTTGACACTTAGGTTGCCAAAACTTATAATAAGCAAGCATCTTCAACTGAACATTTTTCTATAGTTTAGCCCTTTTGTGATTTTCTTTTAAGAGAGAGACAAACACATAGCTCCTATATATCTTGTGGGCGTTGACTCCTGCATTTTTCATGAAGTTTGGGCATAGTTAGTGGTAGTATGTTTTTGTAATTAAAATGAACATCAGATGAGTGACAGATGACTTGTTTGCAGGTTGTGAAAATCTTAGAGAAGCATGACCCCTTGAAGAACACCCAGGCAAAGTATGGATCCATCCCTCCAGATGAGGCAAGTGCCGTGCAGAATTACGTAGAACACATGCTCTTCTTGCTGATTGAAGAGCAATCCAAGGATGCGGCAATGGGGCCGATTCTGGAATTTGTGGTCTCTGAGAACATCATGGAGAAACTCTTCCTTTGGAGCCTGAGGCGGGAATTTACCGATGAGACTAAAATTGAGCAGCTGAGGATGTACGAGATGCTGGTCACCCAGTCGCACCAGCCTCTGCTGCACCACAAGCCCATTCTGAAGCCCTTGATGATGCTGCTGAGCTCTTGTTCAGGAACCACCACCCCCGCTGTGGAGGGGAAGCTGGTTGTCCTGCTTAATCAGCTCTGTTCCATCCTTGCCAAAGATCCGTCCATCCTGGAACTCTTCTTCCACACTAGTGAGGACCAAGGGGCCACCAACTTCCTCATCTTCTCCCTTCTGATTCCCTTCATTCACCGAGAGGGGGCAGTAGGTCAGCAGGCCCGGGACGCTTTGCTTTTCATCATGTCTCTGTCTGCTGAGAACAGCGTGGTGGCCCATCACATTGTGGAGAACACCTACTTTTGCCCAGTAAGTCCCTCTCATTGGCCCACTTTCCACCTACTCTTCTTTTCCTCTCCTGTGCTAATGATAAGTAACTTATTACTCCTTTCTTTCCAGCAAAGTTGTATTTGGCATCTTCTATGGAAAGGAGCATAGGAATTTACTTTGAAAAATTGACTCTATTTGTAGGAGGACATGGCCAGTCTTACTTATTTAATGTATTTTAAAATTAAAAAGCCATATTATATTCCTGACAGGTCAGAAAACAGTTGAAGAGCTTGTCATCACTTTGAACACAAAATGATTACTATTTTTTCGTATTTCCTTTCAGTCTTTTGTAAATACATGTTTTTGACATCGTTGATAATGATGGGTCCGACTGTATACAATTAACTTACCTCTTCATCTAACGTGTCACATACATTTTTACATGTTGCTCAATAATCCTCATAATAATAGGCCTGGAACGCACGTAGCTCAGCTGACATACACCTACTACTTGTCTTGACACTTAGGTTGCCAAAACTTATAATAAGCAAGCATCTTCAACTGAACATTTTTCTATAGTTTAGCCCTTTTGTGATTTTCTTTTAAGAGAGAGACAAACACATAGCTCCTATATATCTTGTGGGCGTTGACTCCTGCATTTTTCATGAAGTTTGGGCATAGTTAGTGGTAGTATGTTTTTGTAATTAAAATGAACATCAGATGAGTGACAGATGACTTGTTTGCAGGTTGTGAAAATCTTAGAGAAGCATGACCCCTTGAAGAACACCCAGGCAAAGTATGGATCCATCCCTCCAGATGAGGCAAGTGCCGTGCAGAATTACGTAGAACACATGCTCTTCTTGCTGATTGAAGAGCAATCCAAGGATGCGGCAATGGGGCCGATTCTGGAATTTGTGGTCTCTGAGAACATCATGGAGAAACTCTTCCTTTGGAGCCTGAGGCGGGAATTTACCGATGAGACTAAAATTGAGCAGCTGAGGATGTACGAGATGCTGGTCACCCAGTCGCACCAGCCTCTGCTGCACCACAAGCCCATTCTGAAGCCCTTGATGATGCTGCTGAGCTCTTGTTCAGGAACCACCACCCCCGCTGTGGAGGGGAAGCTGGTTGTCCTGCTTAATCAGCTCTGTTCCATCCTTGCCAAAGATCCGTCCATCCTGGAACTCTTCTTCCACACTAGTGAGGACCAAGGGGCCACCAACTTCCTCATCTTCTCCCTTCTGATTCCCTTCATTCACCGAGAGGGGGCAGTAGGTCAGCAGGCCCGGGACGCTTTGCTTTTCATCATGTCTCTGTCTGCTGAGAACAGCGTGGTGGCCCATCACATTGTGGAGAACACCTACTTTTGCCCAGTAAGTCCCTCTCATTGGCCCACTTTCCACCTACTCTTCTTTTCCTCTCCTGTGCTAATGATAAGTAACTTATTACTCCTTTCTTTCCAGCAAAGTTGTATTTGGCATCTTCTATGGAAAGGAGCATAGGAATTTACTTTGAAATGCTACTTGAATGAGCAGTGTCAGCTCAAAATAAGCCAACAGAGGAAATATAGGTGTTACTGTTTCTTTGTTCACTTCTGTTGGGTTAGGAACTCCTGTAGTTTTTTTCTAAGCATATATCCTGAGCAGTTGGTAAAACTTACACTTCCTATATTCTTAGCTTTCCAGGTTGATTTTGTACCAGTGAATCGTGGCATGAGGTGAGACCCCCTCACAGCTGGTTTCACAAATTAATTTCTCTCTCAGCAAGATGATGACCATAATTATAGATACAAAACACTGATTTGATTTGATTTAAAAAAACAAATACATACAGTTTGAGGCAGCAAGAAATACTTTGTATAGTTTCTTAATGATTGAAATGTTGAGGGATAAAATATAAAGTCCTTTGCAGCTGTAGGAGTAGCCAGGACCCAATCACACTTCCAGAAAATAATGTGAGCTTTCTGGGGTTCTTAAGATGCCGTAGAGCCCTGATTATTTTTTGGTGTTAGTATTGTCTTCGAAAGGGGGATTTCAATGACAGATTTAGATCTTTTGGTTTGTCATATATGTCAGGGAGTAGCTATTCTTATTTTTCCAACTCAGGGAACATTTCCAGTTTATTTGCATGATTATTTTTTTACTGATTACCTCATTACATTTCTTTAGAAACTACATTGTCTTAAATATGCCTGATTCTGCTGGACAAGTGTGTAAGACCATTAGTGAGGTTTATTGGCATAGGCCAGGCAAATTTCCATAAGTAAATCAGGTCCATTGTTAACTAACACAGTTGGGGAAGTTCTTGACCAGGGCTGAGGGCCTTTAGAAGTGTCTGTGGGGTATGTTTAGTTGTCACAGGGACATAGGTGGCCGGGGAGGGAGGTCCACTGGCGTTTAGTGTGCAGGGACCAGGAATGCTAGTGCCTGGTAGTCTGCAGAATAGTCTTGCCCAGTTAAGAACTGACTGGCCCAAAATGCAAGTAGCAAATCCTAGTGAGTTAACACAGTGTATTTTGCTTTGAGATTCAATCGTCTTCTGTATCTTACTAATTCTTATTTTTACTAATTCCTATTTTTACTAGGTGACCAGGGTAACCTAATGTCTGGTGAATGTTTTTTTCTGGGCAAACAAATGCATAAACATTGTGAAAAACAGAATTTCAAGTAAGAAATTCAGTGTGCCATGTGTCTCTTCTCTTCTGGGTTCTGATTGATGGAATAAGACACTGAACAAAGGTTGATAGTCACATGGGAGGTGAAGAGCGATTCCTTTCATCTGCGCCAATGTACTCTCTCTTATCTCCTTCAGTAGTCCAGTTTATAATGAACCCCTCAAAGAATATATCTTAGGCAAAAATGGGACTTCTCACTTTGAATTTAAACATCTTTAGCATACACTGCTGTCTTAGTTCTCTATTTCTGCTGTAACAAAGTACCAACTTTCAGCAACACAAATGTATGTATTATCTTACAGTAGTAGTATCTTACTATAAGCTAGAAATCCGACAGGTCTCATCTCACTGGGCTAAAATCAAGATGTCAGCAGGACTGTGCTTCTTTCTGAAGGCTTTTTTGTCGGTGAGTCAGTTTTCTAGACTTTTTCACCTTCTAGAGGCCACCCACAGTCCTTGGCATGTGGCCCATTCTCCCATTGTTACAGTCAGCAGTGGTGCACCTCTGACCATTCCTCAGTAGTCACGCCTTTCTCTGACTCTGCTCTTCTGCCTCCCTCTTCCTCTTTTAAGGACCCTTGGGATTACACTGGGTTTACGTGGATCATCCATAATCATCTCCCTACTTAAAGATCAGCTGACTAGAACCCTAATTCCCCTCTGCCATGCAACCTCATTTATTCACAGGTTCAGGGATTAGTGTGGTGTAGACAGCATTGGTAGGGGAGGGGCATTATTCTGTCTACCATGATTGTTGTATCCAGTTTGGAGAGCTCTTGAAATTTGAGCAGTAACACAGCAAAATCAGAATTCTTTTAGGAGTTGAATCTGGTCATGTAAGATGGTTGAGTTTGGGAGATGCTGAGGAGGTAGGGAGACACGTAAGGATCTGGAAATGAGTGTGAGGAACCAGAATGAAAAGGAGCTGGACAGGAGCAACATTGTGGAGGTAGAAGGTTATTTAAAAATAAACAGTTTTGTGAGGGAGCTATACAAAAGTTTGAGTTTGGGCTTATTTGAATTGTTTTGGGTATTTCTGTTAAAGAAGGAGCACAAGTATTGAAACAAATCATCAAAATATTCAGGTGCTTCACCTGATCAGTATACACAAGGCAATTAGAAAAGATACCATTTACAAAAGCAACACAATCCTATGGTTTCTTTAGTAAGTCTAACAAATACATTAAAAGCCTTTACAGAGAATTATAAAACTTGATTGAAGGGCTTAAAAGAAGATCTAAATAAATGGAAAGCACTGTAGTTTGTAGTTATTGTGTAGATGACACTTCCTGCAAATTCATCTGTAAAGTTAATGCAATGTATGTTTTACAACTTTTTGCTAAAAAAAAGTAAAATACAGAAAATTTGGAAGAATATTGAGGTTAATACAGTATACATATCACCTAAATTCAAAAACTTAACATTTCACCATATGTTGGTGTATTTATCATCTATGCTTTTTATTTGTTTTTGCTGTGCCATTTGAAATTGAGTTATAAACATTTGAAATTAAGTTACAGACACTAAATACTCTAATGTGTATCTCCTAGAGATAAAGACATTCTCTTACATAATGATAATATCATAATTGTATCCAAGAAAATTATACAGTAATTCTGTAATAGGATCTAATGTCCAGTTCCCTAATTATGCCCAAAATGCCTTTCATGGATTTATTTCCAAGCTGGAGTCCAATACAAGGTACAATTCTGGCTGTCCTATCTCTTAAGTCTCTGTTGATCTATAACAGACTGCCACTATTTCCCCCCATGACGTTGACTTTTTAAGAGATGAGCCATTGTGTTGTAGAAGGCCCCACATTCTGGGTTCATTTCTTGTATAGTTTGACTTGTCCCTCACCCCTGTATTTCCTGCAAATGGGAAATTAGGTCTAAATGCTTGATTAAATAAAATTGGTAAGAAAACTTTATAGGTCATCAGTACACTTCTGATCGTATATCAAGAGGCATGTGTTGGGTTGTCCCCCTGTTGGTGATGCTGTGCTTGGTCACCTGGTTGGTAAAGGTGGTGACCACTAGTTCTTCCCATCATAAAGGTAAAATCTCCCCTTTGTAATTGTAAGTTATAAGTTGTGGGGTGTTGATGTGACTTTAATAAAAATACCAGTAGGGTTTTTCAGAGAACATGACAAATCTATGCTAAGTTATATAAAGTGTGTAAGAGACCAGGAATAGCTGAGATAATTATGAATAACAGTAACAATAATGTATTTATTGAGAGCTTACTATATGCCAGACATTGTTATTAAAATCTGTTAAATCTTGGGGGTGGTTTTCTATTCTGTTTCATATGTTTGTAATATTTCATACTTAAAATTTAAATATACTAGGACTAGAATAGAGCA